GAGCTTGGGATAATCTTGATGTAAAAATGAGGGATTTACTTTTAGAAAATGGTCCTATAAGAGAAAATAATCACAAATTCCCTATTGATGAACAATGCAGACATTTTTCCTGTGAACTAAATATTGATGATGTAAGGGGGCAGGGCTATGATAATGGATCAAATATGAAAGGGAAAAATATGGGTGTACAAAAAAGATTGCTTGATATAAATCCTAGAGCATTTTACATGCCATGTGGTTCTCATTGTCTCAACTTAATAGTTTGTAATATGGCCAACTCATGTGTTAAAGCAAAATCTTTTTTTGGAGCATGTCAATGCATATATACGGTATTCTCTAATTCAACAAAAAGGTGGAATGTGCTACTTGATTATATTGATGGTTTAACTTTGAAATCACTGTCAACTACACGCTGGGAAAGTCACATAGAAAGTGTTAAAGCAATAAAATCTCAAGCTTCTAAAATTAGAGAAGCTTTATTTAAATTGGCTGAAATTAGTGAAGATGCTAAATTGAGTAGGGATGCTGAAAGTTTAGCATCAGGAGAGCTTTCAAGTTTCGAGTTTATATTAAGCTTGGTTATTTGGTATGACATTTTGCACAAGATTAACTTAGTTAGTAAAAAATTACAATCTGAAGACATGCGTCTTGATGTTGCTGTAAGACAATTAGAAGGACTTGTTTTATTTTTTGAAAACTATAGGATATATGGTTTTACTTCTGCCATGAATGATGCTAAAGTAATTGCATTAGATATGGAAATTGAGCCTGTATTTCTTAAAAAACGTCAAACCTGTAGAAAGAGACATTTTGATGAGATTTCCAATAATGAGAGGGAACAACAATCATCTGAAGAATCCTTTAGAACTGATTACTTTCTTGTCATAGTGGATATTGCTCTTGGTGAATTGAAAAGTAGGTTTGAACAATTGCATATCTTTGAATCTATTTTTGGGTTCTTATTTGATGCTGCAAAATTGACTTCTTTGGATGAAAATGAATTGAGAAGCTCTTGTGTGAATCTTGAAAATGCTTTAAAACATGACAATGATACTGATATTGATGCAAGAGATTTAGAGTCAGAATTACAGGTGTTGCAAGGGATGTTACCAAGTGAAGCAATTGAAACAGATAAACCATGGACATCCATTAAAATTCTAGAATTTGTAAAGAGTGTGGATATGTTTCCAAATGTAATGGTTGCTTATAGGATATTACTGACTATACCTGTGACTGTGGCATCTGCTGAAAGAAGTTTTTCTAAATTAAAATTATTAAAATCTTATTTGCGGACCACTATGGCTCAAGATAGGCTAAATGGACTAGCTATATTATGCATTGAAAGAGATATGTTGGAAAACATTAAATATAATAGTATAATTGATGATTTTGCTTCTAAAACTGCAACAAGAAGACATTTTAAATGATCTTTTGTGATTAGGATTTCATTGCTATTTTTATTTTGTAGGTGCATATGAAGGTGAAGCATAGGGACATGCAAGTTAATTTGTTGTTGATTGTAATGTTTTCAAACAAGGTTTTAATGAGACCCAAAGTGTTTTATATCATCGGTTGTAAACTCTTATAATTTTAATAAAATTTATTATTTAATAAAAAATTGTAATTATATTTATTTATTTGTTGATAAAGGGCACATTCTTAAACTTTGGCCCTAGGCCTTAAATCACCCAGGGCCGGCCCTGACTAGCAATAGCAGTATTGTCCCCAACTTAACCACCTACAAAGCTTAGTAGATATGAGGTTTTATCACAAAATGCCTCAATGATATTAGTAATGGAACCATTCATTATATGTTGAGTTTTTATTTAGTCAAGTTTTTGATGTGTTCTTTAACACACCCTCTCATTTGGGACCACCACATAGTGGGCCATACGTGGAGCCATGTCTACATCAGAGTCAAACATTCAAGCTCGACACTTGAATATCACGTATTGGGTAAGGAGTAAGGGTAAAACATTCAAGCCCAACATGTGAACACCACCTATTGGGTAAGGGGTAAGGGTAAAGGCCCAGTAAATCAACCCACTCTGATATCACGTTAAGTTTCATAGAGACAAGTTAGCAGCCCACTATTCGCAACACCAATATTGTCCCCAACTTAACCACCTACAAAGTCCAGTAGGTGTAGTGTTTTATCATAAAAGGTCTGAGTGATATTAGTAGTTAAAAAATAAAAAGAAAAAGAGAAGGGAGAAAGTTTGGGTGAGAGAGGAGATGTAGCGAGAAACAAGGGAAATACACAATTCATTTGAAAGTCATCAGGATCATCTGCATAATTTTTTTTTTCTTCTTCTTCCTTTATGCAACATCTCCTTCTAACAGAACTTAGAGCAAAAAGCCCCTACCCTAACCATATATGCACGAGTGTTGCTAGATTTTTATTTTCCAGATTCACTACTACAAAAATTCATAGTACCTATTTATTTGTAATTGTCCCTTAAGTTGATTATTTAGACTGTAATTTGTATCCTCTAACAATAGAGACAATGCAGCCACCATTCTCTGAGTTTACTAGTTTGGTGTGGCTGTTGCTTATAGGGTACCATTTAGATTGTAAATTGTCTTCCCTAGCAATATTGCTTGGTATTATAATCAAAGACGCGAGGAACAACCAGGAAGTTCACATGGACGGCAAAGGAATCATTTCCTGAACCCACCCATCATCTCAATTGACATAGGAAAGAGAAATTTTTAAAAAAAAATATACAGGCGAAAGAGAAGACATCGTTACAAAGGTTTTGGGGACAGGTTAGCTTGATATAAAAGGTAAGATTTGGGGGGAAGATGGATCTCGACCCTAATCCTGAGCCTTTGCATTCACCTGCATTTCATAAAATATGGACCATCCAAATAATCCAATGCGTGAGAACATGCCACATCAGCAACTTAATAAGTTTGCAATTTTTTTTAAACTGACGTTAACAGTCCCTTTGACCGAAAGAAACAAAATAAAAACGGCTAACAATCCCTCCATCTTCGTCTGCAGTCGCACCTACTCCTTGCTTTTCCCTCTTTATAATTGGTCTTTCTTTTTTCTCTTTATTTTTCTCTTTTGGCTTTTGGGTAGTCTAACCCCAATTAAACGACCAAGCCCTCGCTATGTATCCGAATAGCAATCTATTGGAATATGTTCCTAATCAATTGCAGCTGATGTTTACAGCTTTCAATAAAAATCAATTGTAGTAGTGGATTTGGAATTGAAAAGCTATCCAGAAGAGTAGATTTGCAACTTGCAATACATTTGTGCCTTTTTTCATGACTTTTAAACCCAACTTTCTTATAAGAATTTTAGTTTCTCGTATTAAGGTTTTCCTTCAACAAATTGATGCAGTATATTCTGTCTATTAGAGGTTTTTTCACACGTCATCGTTTTTATTTTAAGGTAACAACGTTAGTTTAAAAAAACAAAAAAGGAAACAAACTTATTGTAGCCCGATCTGGCATACTCGCAAGCATTAGATTAGTTGAATGATCCAGATTTTCTGAAATGCGGGTAAATGCACAATCACTAAATGCAGAGCAATTTTATACTATGAAATTCAACATTCTTTGATCCACAAAATGTTGGCAGATCCCTTTTTTTTTTTTTTTTTTTTTTTTT